TGTGATTCACTTTCATCGCTAGATGATGAGTGATCTTCTCCCGCTGAACTATCACTGTCAGATGAACCTGCGCTGTCTACATCACTGGATTGTGATTCACTTTCATCGCTAGATGATGAGTGATCTTCTCCCGCTGAACTATCACTGTCAGATGAACCTGCGCTGTCTACATCACTGGATTGTGATTCAGTGTCATCACCAGATGTCAAGATGTCTCCTTTTTCTGTTGCACCACTGTCACTTGGTGCAGTCTCGTCAAGAGCATTCAACTTGGCTGTGAGCTCATAAATTTCCTGCCAAGCCAGAATGCAATACATTTTAAAATCTTCAGTTGTAAGTTTTTAAAAATATGCCCATATGAAATATGCACAAGTTCTGTACCAGAGCAGTAAAGTACTTACAAATAACAAATCATGGAAGGCAACCTGGCCTGTATAAAAAGCTGCAGCCAGTGGACGGCCATGTTTATCCATTTTGAACGATTGGTCTACATACAAAAATCCAAAGGGAAGGAAAGTTAATGTTATGTAAATCTATGTCCATGGCAAATTTACTTCACAAGACATTCAGATTACTCAGGCATGACCCTTAACCTCCTAACTCAAAATTTGAATTTTTGATTTTGACAAGGAAAAAAAGTAGCAACTACAGCCCCCCCCTCCCCTCCCATTGGACCTAGACATACTAGACATCTTAGTTTAGACAAAGAGATTATTGTTTTTATAAAAAATGTCCAGTCCACTGGGTTCATTGAAAATTCAAATAGTTCAATCCAAAGTTAATGCAATTTGCCAGCAGTTACTTGAGATATACCAACAAAATAATACCACATTCTTCCATCAAAATTATTCACCAAATGCAAAGTACCATCAAACACAAAAAAAAAGCTGAGGGGATTATTTGCTTAGCTTGAGTAGAATAATTATTAATTATTAATTAATATGATTATAACTGAGTTGATTATTCCAGGATCTGCACCTCATTCATCTTTCCTCTCCAGAGACATAAATTATAAGAAAATCCAACAGAGACCATCTAATGAAAACTACTGCTTTACAATGTACATGTACATGTAGTATTTATCATAACCACCCAACACAGAGTGATTACAGAAAAACATGATGCAATCTTCAAACAATCAGAGGAAGTGGCTTATTGAACTGAACAATTCAAAATGGTTATTAATAGATAAATAAGAAAATACTAACATCATATAATAGAATTAGACATCAGTGTGAATATCAAAACATAACTATGCATATAAGTGTATAGATATGCCTGTACCTGTTGATTGTCTGTACACTGACTGAGGGTGCTAAAAGAAGGTAAAAAGAGAGGTAGATATGAGCAACAGGAATGTTTTTATTTTGTTGCACTCTTTTCAGTAATTGAGGGGGACATGGGGGGGTTTTGAATACTGCAACACTGCAAACAAAATAGAACAAACACTGCATCACCTTAAGAAATATTATCAAGACACAAGTCTCAGGATTTACCTACTGTAGTCTAGTTTCACTTATCTTTACAACAAACTGGTCTTTGGCTGGCCAATACTGCATGTGGCAGAGGTCCACAGGTCAAGTAAAATATATCAACGAAAACAGCCTGGGGTTAATTAGCTAATGCTTATTGATGATTAACTTGGATGTATTGCTTATTTTGTTCAGCAATAAACCACAGGTTATCAAAATCTGGTTTTTAAAAGGGTTAAAGAATAAATTGCAACACTGGAAATGGTTTATTTCACCGAACACTGTTGAATTGAAATTACAAACATCGTACAATGTAAGGTTTGAGATCACCACAACATTGCCATGCCAGTTGTTCTTCATTGCAATACTGCATCAACAACACAACAGTGCAAACCCCAATGCCCGCCTCTGTAATTGGTTTGAAAAAAATTACGCCATCCTCTTGACCAATCAGAAACAAATTAACCTGAAACTAATTTATATATATATTTTCTTACACCTGATACAACAAGCTGTCATGTTATCTAGAGAAAGAAAGCTTATCACAATGCAACACTGCACTTGTACTTTAGCTAGAACTGTTACTGATACCTCAAAGGTAGGACGACAATCCTTTGCATACAGCCCAGATGGCAACAAGTATTCAATTGCTTCCTAGAAATAAATCAATCATTAAAACATGTAAATACAAATATATGATTCTTCAGTTACATTTGCAGTGGTAATGACAAATGAAGTTTTACTGTTAAAAACACTCATTTTTTTTGCTTGTTTACTACATTAATCCTCAACATGAATAACAAATAATTTAACGTCTCATCTCACTGGGAAACAGTTAGTTTTGTCTTCACTTGAGTCTCAGTGTTTCCCTTGGTTTGGTCTTGGGACTCTTCAAAAACAACACTAACTTTTTCCCAATGACCAGACATTACGTGTTTATTATACTCAGTACTTGCACTGCCTCTTGGTCAAATGATTCAGGATCCTTTCCCATCAAGTTTGCCAACCATAAACGATACTTTTCATATCTCTCCATCATCATTTGCATTGATGGATCTGGATGTGACACACAAATTACAATTAAAAGGTCACTGGTATATACTAATTGATGCTTATTCAAACATTTTGCAGAGAGCTGAATTACAGGTTTGTTACAATGAGATGTTGTTAAGGTTGAGAACCCTATATCCCACCCATCCCACCCCAGGGGAGGACATCCATCACACAGTAATCTCGTGTGTGGGAAATTAACGTCTCCTACCCCAACCCTGCAGGAGACGGGACCTCCATTTATTCGTCCCTATCCGAGAAGACTAGAATATCTAACCATTTCTTGATGTTATAGAAAGGTAGCAAATTCTTCTCACTTATTTTAAGACCTTGAGTGTTGGTCCGGCCGGGTCTCGAACCCTCGACCTCCCGTACAATAGTCCAGCGCACTATCCATAACAAATTCTTTCATATATACTATCCAAAAGAATTTCTGTCCTTTATTCCATTAACATTCAAAATCTGTAATGCCTTGGTTTGATTTTTTTGCTTTCTGCTGATGTTTCATGAGATCAAAATTGTTACATTTACAGGATACTATCTTACAACTTTGTCTTTACTCCTTTGACCTCATAGGTGTGACTAGCATCTAATTTTTCTCAAAAATATCTCCCCAAAATGAAACATTATGGTCATTATAGTAAAGGAAATGACCATAGTCTTAAAATAAGATCTTAATAGTTGAACAACTTCTCTTTTTCAGCACCTTAGGAAATGTATAAAGAACAGTATGGAGAATATGCATACTGATGTTAGGGTAAATAGGGTTTTTAAGTGACTCTGTAACCATCAAGTTTATGACATGTGCTAGATATGTGTTGGATACATTTATTGAAAACAATACAGAAACCTTCATTATCTTGCTCTCCCTCAAAATCAGTAAAACTTGAGTCATCAATATCAACTGTCGTATTCCTGAAGTTTTCTTGCATCAAGTACTAAAAACACAATTATGAACTGTAGTAATTCTCAAATGCTAGAAATTCTCCCTGTAAATAAAGAGAATTAGTACATACCTAACAAGTGAATAGTTTTATTTTTCACGTGCACTGGTTGGCTAGTTCACAAGTGAATAGCAGGTACTATTCAACTGGAGGTAGCCAATGAGACAAAATTATGTGTCAAGAGTTGAATTTCTGACTATTTTATGGTAGTGGTCAAAATAAACTATTTTTTGGTATCTTTGTGGTATATATTAAAACGAATATTCACCTCAGTGTCGGTGGAGGGGTCGATTTTTTTACCTTACTGCTTTGCATATTGCTTAATATCCACCACTATTCACGTCCACTTCAGTGAACAATCACTAATTATTCCACATAAAATATGCACTGAGCTTTTGTGAAGGTAACTCACAGTTTCTAAGTATATAATGCATAAAAAACCATCATTAAGAGTACATGTTCTTGTAGGCTACTGACTTCATCTCAGTGCTTCCTTTTGATAGATAGATAGATAGATAGATAGATAGATAGATAGATAGATAGATAGATAGATAGATAGATGGATGGATAGATAGATTTATTATCAATAGTTTGCAGCCCAAAGGATGAATTGCATATTTACAAACCTAAGTACAGCAAATATGAAAGTATGTAAAAAAAAAATATAAAAAAGTATATAAAAAAGGTATATAAAAGCTCTATCACTCTTTAGTTTTCTTATATAGTTTTTCCTTTTCCTTAATCCAATGTATGATCACCATCAGTGATCCACTCTCTAAAGCAATCACTTATCTGCTCCATGGTCCAATTAAATTGATCCCATCAGTGCTCTGATCCACTTTTGATTACATCACCGCCTCTTAATTTGCAAAGGGCAACCATCTGGCTGTGGTACAAAACTACACCTACTGGAAAGATTTCCATATAACCCCATACCAATCAAAAACAAAGCCGTAATCCCAACGGTAATCTGTTGTTTTGCCTCTGCTTTCTTTCATCCAAGAATTCTAAGTATAATGAAGTATGGGGTTATACGGAAATCTTGCCCACCTATTTAGTCTATACTTCCAGTTGTAAAGATGGGCTGGAAATTCTCGTATGTACGTGACGGGCCTTTTTTGGTGTAAGTGTGTTTGCTTTGTACTTATATACACAGAAGAAAGGTACATTATGGGGGTGAAAAACTTACCTGGGAAAACTTTAAAGCATCTGAAGTACGGGACGAATTTTCATCTGCATAAAACCGTTTCGTTGAAACCTTCAAAGCAATATACGTACGGTTTGTGCTTCACTAATAAAATCAGCTGATCAAAACCAAATTTGCAAAGAAGTAGTCCAGCTATATGTACAACTTCGCCTCCAAAATTATTCGTTCGGTACCGTTGTCGCTGGTATAAGCTTGGTATGGATCATCCTCAATTCGATTAGGCATCAAAAGTATTCAAAATTGAACTCTCGAATCAAATTCAACATTCGAGAAGTTTGATTTCACAGACATTACCTCTATTGCATTAGCGATACAAGCTTTTCGACATCTTCGAAGATATCTGACGTTTATTCTGCTCGCGCTAGAGTAACAAAATGAAGATGCATAAGCCCGGCAACAAAAGCGTGCACCAAACATTACTCCAGACGCCATTTTTGGATTAAAATGTTGGAGCCCGCAAACTTCACTCTGCTCAGCGGAAATTTGTCTACTAGCAAAATAACTAGGTAGACCGCAACGTGACCTCTCAGTCCGTCCCAAACAAAGACTTTCGTAACTATTGACAAAATTTTAGGTAATTATTAAACTAAGAAGTTCTTCCACGGCTATTAAAGTGACGGCAGTCGTATGGCTTTGGTGGTATCTCCCTTGACCAAGCGAAAATCCTCGCTCTCGCCGGCTGACACATCGCCACGCCCATATCCTATCCGCTTGCACCACTTTCCTGACCCATCAAAACGTGGGCCTGTTACGCATGCAGGAGTTTTGGATATCTGGGTTTTAATGGGACACTAAATAACTGATGTTTTCTGTATTCCCGCTGGTGTGTGAATAATTGTTGGCAAAAATAAACTGCATTACTATCAGGCTTTCTGCAGTGTATGGCGCGCCGAAGCGGACAAAAATACTTGTGTATGGATAAGACTTGTTTTGTAAAATATACGACTTGTTGCGATAATAGAAAACTTGTTTTGTAAAATATACGACTTTTTGCGGAAATATAAACTTGTTTTGTAAAATACAAGACTTGTTGCGAAAATATAAGACTTGTTTTGTTAAATATACCACTTGTTGCGAAAATGTAAGACTTGTAAATTTTTTCAAAGACCGCAAATTGCACTCGCCCTACGGGCTCATGCGATTTTTTGTTTTTTGTTGGCCTTGAAAAAATTTACTCGTGCTTATTTATTCCAAATTGCACTCGAAATCATGTGATTACCTATACAAACAAGTTTTATATCTTCGCACCAAGTCGTATATTTTACAAAAGAAGTCTTGTATAACACGAGCACTTTTGTCCGCATCGGCGCGCCATACTGCAGCAGCTGCAGTCCCCTCCACAGCCCTAATTTGGACTCATCACGCAACGCCTTCTCTCCAACGTTGCGTGACGAGACCAAACAACGACTTGGTATTACTCGTCAACCGTCCGAATGGCCAAAATATTAACTATCAAGCGTCAAAAAAGCAATATTTTTACCATCAACCGTCAAATAAGCAAGCCAAGTTCTGTTGTTTATAATTAAAAGCTTTGATATGTCACAAGAATACATTTATGTAAGTCCTTAACTTCAAGTCGTGAGTAAAACTGGTTAGCGACAGAACTGACTTCCGGTGTCGTAAAACGTTATCATAGTTAGTAGACTAACTATGATAATATAGGACTAACTATGATAATATAGGTGTTATGAATTGACAGTTCTTTATGACCCCCCATCGAGACGCTCAGTACCAACGTTACAAAGCGATTTAGCCGATTGGTCCGTTTCGTCTTGTCATTTCATTGGCTTGCACCTCGCTCACACGTTACAGATCTAGAGAGAGTCGCCTAAACAGTATTCGAGAGCTTTAGATTCGAGTGCAGCAGAGAGGTATTTTGTCTGCGCATGCGCGAGCGGAATTAGTTTGTTGCGTTCGGCGAGGTTTCACTGGACGATCGACACCTTTTTGTAATATTTTGTGAATATGAATGAAGGAGTATGACAAGTTCGCCAACATTTCTAACTCTGTCGATACTCATGGTGTTTGCTGGCTCTTCGGTTGAGGATATTTTAATGATCAAAGTGCGAACAAAACGCGAAAAAAGCCCGAAAACTTGAAGTTTGAGATTTGAGTTACTGAAGATCAATATGTACACATGAGACAACAAACCTTGAAGGTTAGTCTTAAGATGTTGATGTTTTATTTTTGTGAATCACAAAGTTGTCTGTGGAGACGATCGTGAGATATTTGATCCGAGGAAAGATAGAAATTTAGAGTTTGATATTATTTTACTTCAACTTCGAAGTAAAATTGCGTTAAGTTTGAGGTGGCCCCCAAGCATCAAATCACTTTAAATAACATCGTCTTTTCCTTCTCTTTACAGTCATATAGGACACAAGGCTTTAAAAAATGTTCCAGCTTCAGGATTAAGTTGCTCTAACTACAACCCTCGGCGAATTATTTTTCGGGAGGTTTTGGTGGATTTTTCAAGTCATGACCCAAAACCGTCTTTGGCCTTTTTGCTCTCTAAGTCTGTTGAATATGGTGGGTAGGCATGTGTCTTAACAACGGTTATGGTCTTACCTCAATCAACTACGGTTTTGGCTTATTTTTTTACTGTGTTTTGG